TTTCAAGCTAGGCAAAATTTATGGTGTGAGAGACATTGAATGTTATTAAACTATCAGGAAAGACTACAAAATAGTGAACAAATTATTGGCATATTAGCCTTTCAGCCAGTCTGAAACAGAAGCTTGGGAATCTAAGGGCTTTATAGTTGGTTTAATGTGCTTGTAGTAGCTATATTTTGGTCTGAACCATACAACTGATAATCTCATTGTATTGCCCTGACTTTTATATACGTTATGAAAAACTGAATATTTGTACATATTGAAGAAGAGTGAAGAGTATGTATTTGAGTATAAGCACTTTTAGAATCTGGAAAGACACTTGCAAAGTAAAATTCCTGTTGCGATTAAATGAAACCTTTGTGCACACATGCAATATAAGCAGAAAGAATAACTGTAAGTAGAATTCCTGTCTCTGGATTGCCCAATTCTCTTGTGTTGGTACAATTTTCTGCTAAATACATACTATTTATACAGTTAAGAATGAAGCCATATAAAAGACTGCTGACAATATATTTACTTATAAAAATGACAAATCACAGAGAGAGTTCTACTGGATGAGGTTAATTTTGCAGATATTTAGCCGGCAAATTCACATTCTCCCACAACCTGGACAGATGACAGTTGATGAGTTCCTTAGAAATGAAACATATATTGCTTGTGTAATAGTGTAAAGTAGCTAATTTTTAGATTTATGAAATCTAATATGCCAAAATCCTCAGCAGACATGAATCAGTGAAGCTGTGCTGGTTTATGTGAGCTGAAAATGAGACATTGTGTCTCAAATACTGTTTGGTTATAACTTTTGGAATAATCGGTATATACATTTGTGAATGACAAGCTTCTCAAAATATGCATACTTTGGTCAGTGTTTGATAATTGGGATGGTTTGAGTGATGAGTCTTTTATTGAACTGGGAAAATATTTTCTGTGACCATTATTAATAAATGTACTTCTTTGCTGGATTTACTTTTGTTTCTATTTAAAATTCTAAAGGCTATTGACTTGTACTGTTTTTTCCATCCTATTCTTTATTGCAATCTCTCAGACACATATTTGAGGTAGAAATACTATTTTTAATGAGTAAATTCATAAAACCACATAATGGAATTCTTACTTAACACAGGCAAAATTTGAGATACAGTAGATGGGCTATAAGCCAGGCCACTACTTGAATATTTTTTCTTCCAAGAAATTCGGCCTTAGCACATGTGGTTTCCCAAGCCTCAGTGACAAGATAACAGACATTTGTAGTTCTTAATTTATTTGTAAACCATATTAATGATACTTAGAAAGTGCAGTTATTAAAAAAGAATTAAAGAATAACAGTCCATCTGTATTACTACAATTTGTGAATAAGATGTTCAAATAGAAGAGTTTCTGAGATTCTATTTTAAATTTGATGACCACAGATACTTAGGTACTTGTGCATTATATTTTAAGGAGCCTTTTTTATGATTGTTTTCTCAGTGCAGTTTAAGGGAAAGAACGGTTCCCTTCAGTATGTCATAATTAATCACATTTAACATGATACCATTTCAAAAGTGGACCAAAAGAAGGACAAGGTGCAATATTAACTGATTATATGAGGATGTGCTATTGACTGCAATACAGATTGATTACAATAATATGTTTATTATGGATGATTCAAAGACTTACCTTCTAAAACACATAAGAAGAAAAAGAAAAATAGCAAAATCATTGCTATATGTTATGCCTATTGAAATAACATGTATTTGCTTCATATCTATGCACTTCCACTAGCCCAGTGGAAGAAGAAAATGTGCAAAGCACTCTTCAGCGAGCTATTCCAAATGAAATTACATTGTTGCATACAGTTATAGTTTAACTACAATAAATACCCTGTTAATTGATATTAATATATTCATTAATATTCTCTTTGCTGTTAAATATGAAATAATGCCAAACTTCCTTGTTAACGTGAAGTTTGCAATGAAGATTACCACCAATAAAACTTTCTATCTGTAAGGGTTCAGGATGTGGTGATCTAAGATCATATTCAGATTGTCCACGTAATGAAGATTGTGACATAAGAAAGAAATTCTTGTAGGATAAGGTCAGGGCCAATTAGGCTATAAGTCTTCAGTGTGTTGCATACAGGGGGTTCACTGCTCCTTCACAGAGGTCCTTTGGCTTCAGTGGGGCTCAGACCAGAAATGGATAGGAAGTAGGAAAGGGATGGGTCCCTGCAGGTGTGGTAGACTGCCAAGACTCATGTTTTAGAATTAAATCCATCCAGGGCTGATGACTGCTGTAGGACAAGTATACTATCTAAAACTGCCAGATAGAGCTCTAAATAATGCATTTGTGCTATGCTAGCCTTTCTTACAGGGGAAAATGTAATGGCTTGGAATGTAAAAAACATGTCATGGCTCATCCACTTGCACAGGAGCAACTAATTTTGGATAAGTTTCTAAGTCCATCTCCTTAGAATGGATGGAAATCACAATTATTTTCATCAGTCATTTTTACATTGACCATAAAGAGTCTGATGTTGTGAGGTGCTGACTTACATTGCCATGCTCATTGTCAATAAGCAGCTGATGAGGCTACTGATTGTCTTACATGAATCACTTTGACTCCTTTGAAGCAATAGAATCTGATTAAAAGAAATCATTACTGCAGAGTTAAATGTCACTATGCTTTCACTTTTGCAATGAGTTGTTTTGCAAACCTTACCTAAAATGTACTTCAGAATGGCAGTAAATGCAAAATTAATTTGAAGAGAGCAGCAGATATTTCCCAAATTTTTCATCCATGTTAATTTAAACTAAATTCTAAAGACTAACACTCTTCCCTCCCCCCAAAGAAGAACAAGAGATTAATTTCTTAAAATTATTGCTGTATTTAGCAGCTCATAACATCACCAACATGCACATTTCTGTGATTTAGGTTTAATACAAATATTTCAAAATATCAGATCTGAAAAATGCTCTCCATTTTTATTACAGGCTTATTCAATAAAATATATACCTTTGGTATAATATGTTCTATTGCATATAGCAAACCATTTTCTTTATCATCAAAAATATATTTTAGCACTTGTGAATTACAGGGGACTTTAATTCCTCAGATAACCCACAATATTGGATACAGTATCTGGAACCAGCTTATAAATATGTAGACATGATAAATATGTACATTTTCTGTTGGAAATGGCAAGTGAAAGATCTTTGAGAATTCTAAATTTAAGCTACTTAAACTATCTTTATGCTACTTTATTAGACACATCATAAGACATTATTTTCATTGAAAATATGCTTTAAATAAGGCAAGTTTTGTAAGAATTTAAATAGTGTTTTTTCTTAGATGAAAAACTTCTTTTCTTGTAAGGTGGTCATGCCCCTCTTGCTGTTCTGAAATCACTACACACAAAGCAATAAAATTACAGAGCTAAGCATCCTCCAAGGATGAAATCACAGTGAAGAAAGCTGTGATACACTTTATGCTGTTGTAATCATGTTGTATCATATCGCATCATATGATGATACCACAATAGAAGAGAGCTGGTTATTTACACAGTGGTTCTGACTGGCAAATGTAAACAAAGATGAGTCAAGCACCTCGGCAATGCATTACCTTGCTAGTTCATCTCCAGGGTTTTACAATGTTGTTCATTAGTTCTGTTGTCAACTTGACATGAGGCACCTATTTTTAAGGTAAGAATCTGGTCAGTTGATGAAGTCTCATTGGGGTTTTCAAGTAAATGTGAATCTGTTCCCTTTTAGTTCATTATTAAGTCAAGGGTACACTAATCTATGATCCAAGAAAGATGAAATGCTGTTATATTTGTATGCAGTTTAAAGAATTATGTAACATGGTGACATCAGTGTAGGTATGAACATTAAAAGGAGCATTAAAAGGTATGACAGTTGGAGCATCTTTCCAGACCCTAATGCTCCTTCTTTTTAAGCTCAGTTTGAAGGTGAATCCTATTGTTGTGAATTGCTTTTCTCCACCAGAGGATTTTATAATAAACAGAGATTCATTGTTGCAGCAGACAGCCTGTCTAGCTATTCTTCCACACTTCACACTGTGCTTCCCCTCACTGAAGAAGTGCCTGCTGACAGTGGAAAGTCCACATAGCAGGTCCTGTCCTGAGAGTCACGCGTTCCTCCTTGTACCAGGGTCATAAGTAGCATCTTCTCTTTTCTATTATTTAAAGGTGTCTAATTGTTATAGGTTATTACATTGTGTTCATCATTATGGTAAACACCTAATTATTATTTTGAAAAGCTTATCTGTGGCAGATTACAAAATAACCTATAGTCTCAGGCTATTCTCAAGAGATCAAGCTGAAAAAAGATGTTAAATACTCATCCAGTAAGTATTTCTCAGGGTTCCATGAGGTTAAGATTCCACTAACTAGACAAAACTGCCATCCTCACCCACCATCCCTCTTAAATGCTGTAATCATCTTCTCATGGAGGTTTAGAACTTCCGTACTGTACACAAGTGAGAAATAATGGTCCTTCCTCACTTATGTTTCTAGGTGTTTCCCTAGAAACTCCTCTGGGGCACTTCCTGATTTCATGAATTACTGTCTCTTCAGAAAGAATAGTGTTTGTGTTTCTCTTCCCACCTCTCCTACACCTTTTTTCATGCCCAAACGGCTTGAGCTGATGAATCATGGCTCTTTTCTTTCCTTGCTGTTTATCCTCCTGCACCTGTAGCTTCAAAAATAATCAGTCAGGTGTATTTCTCCTCCTAAAAGCTATTTTAAAATTGAGAAGTCAATTGAGAATGCCATTCCTAGGAGGGCTGGTGAGGTTTAATTTCCAAAAAATGAATAATCGTGTCCATGTTAGGAGCAAAGCAATATAGGTAGAGGTACTTATCAAAAATCCTAATGAATTTTCAATTACCTTTATTTCTCACTTCACATTTCCTAATATATTTCATAATGGCCTGATTTCATCTTTTAAAAGAAGTTCTCAGAGGTTTTAGAACCATAACCTGGCCAGAAGCAGCAGGCAGAAAGCAGTAGGAATAGTTTTATGATTTCTTTTATTGAGCCAGGCAATGTGGATACTTCTGTTTCAATCTGGTTTTAGTTGTTTATCTCCATTTAAGGGAAAAATAAAAAGTATCCATGCATAATTTCGTAGTTCTCTCAAGGATATCATTGTGTTGTTATATGAGAGATTTACCGTTGTATAACAGGATCTGCACGTCAAGGCTCTGTAACTTGAGTTCCCAAATACCATGCAAGGAATTTGATCAAAGTGCTTTCAGCGTAGAAGAGATTTCACTGTAATATTTAAGAGTAGGTCTAATAAAACAGATACTTTATTTGGATGCTGTTGAGTGACTAAGATTCCCATTTTCAGACAGAGTCCACCTTCACTTGATTGTTGTTTGTAATCAATGGAGAAGGTTTACTTTTCATCCTGTCTCCCGCATCGTTAGAACTATCCTGGAAAAAAACTTTTGCTGTACAAAAAGTGACAATAATTCTTTTGTATTCTCTTCTGAAGTTCTGGTTCAGGAGTCCATATACGATAGCATTAAGGCAGCTGTTGAAATATGCCATGTAATAACTAGATATGAACAACCACTCTGGAATCCTAGGGATTATAGTTTCTGGGTTGACAGCCACAGCAAGGCCTATAAAGTTCAAAGGAGCCCAGCAGACCGCAAACAGTACAAATACCACAAACATGGTTACAAAGTTTCTGAAGTCATGTGGCTTCAGTCTGGGGTTGTTATCTGGTTTAACCCTTCGCCTTACCTGAATAACAAGGATCCATATTCTCAAGTAACAGAAAGTTACTATGGCTATGGGGAGCAGGAAATGGAAAAACACAACTGCTATTGTATACGCTGAGCTCACAGATTGTGCAAAGGTACATGAGTAAATCCTGGGGTCATATTGTAGCGATCCCACAAACAGGTTGGGCACGATAGCAACAAATGTTAGGACCCAGATAAGGACAACATAGCACAATGAATTCTTGTCGCTGTACAGCTTGTCATATTTGAGACTGTGGCAGATATAGCAGTACCGATTGATAGCGATGCCTGTAATATTGAAGATTGATCCAATGACACTTAGACCCATCAAGAAGCCACTAATCTGGCAGTGAAGGTATCCCAGATTCCATCCGTTGTGAAATACAGATGTGAGGACCAGTGGGTATGGGTAGATTGCTACAACCAAGTCTGCAACTGCCAGGCTTACAACAAACACATTTCCTGTAAAATAAATATAAAAAGGCAAGTATTAGTTTTTCTTTTGCTCTTTTCTGTCACTTCTGCTCTCAATATATTAATGAGCAGCCTTAGTGGAATGCTTTAAATGTAATTAGTTTCTACTTTCTAGATCAAAATTCATTGTCATATATCAGAAATAAGACACTCATTTTTAATCTAAAAAAGAAGTATCTTAACTTAAAGATGCACCTTTTAAAAGAAAACTGTCTTTGACTTTAATTACTGTGACCTAATATTTTTATCATGTCTTTTATTTGGATTCTTCCAATCACACAGATTCAGAATTCATATCAAATTAAAATATTCATAACTTTAAGCCTTGCTTTGATTTTAAATAGATAGTGTCTCTTGAAAAATCAGCAAAAATAATATGATTAATAATAAATTTAAAAACTCACATTTACCTTCCATATTTAATTTAATTCCCTTTCCTTACATTGCACCTTAACTTTTCCAGTCCTGAAATGAAAATCTTTTTTTTCCCATTTGTATTTCAAACTTTCATGACTTTAGTGTGACTTTTAAAGTGACTTTTTTTGAATCTGCTGGCTAGCACTTAACTGAACTTAACTTCTAAGAGCCTAGCTGAACATGAACTTAGTTGTCTTTCCTAAATTGAGAGACATACTCTTCAGTAAAAGAAGTGCTGCTGGGCAGTGACCTAGGCAGTTCCCAGACACTATTGGTGCCACATTCTTCTCTGCCTCCAAACTGGACAATTATGCAATGATGATCCATTTTCTTAGTTCATTTTTTAATTAAAACAAACGGAGATTATTTTAGACTGTGTTAGTTCTTGATAGAACCCCTCTCTGTTCTTCAAAGACAATGGAACCCATCATAACTATGTTCTGAATTGATCTTTTGAGCATAGATTATATATTCTTCTTTTAATTTTTTAAATGATAACTTATCTGAATGCCTCCCAACCATTGCTGTTTCTAAGAAGGTCACAAGATACATTGATACAGTTTTTATTAATTTTTTTAAAATAACTACTATATGTATTGGTCTAGTTATTCATGTCCGTATCTACAGAAAGCTATAAATGTGTATATATACACGCATGTGTGTAGGTATATAAATGCATGTATACATAGGCATGTGTGTGTTTGAGATTATATTTTGGAATTCTGAAATTATTCACTGAAGATGAAATACGAGCTCCTATTGCAACCTGTAAGAAAATATATTGCTAGTCTTAGACGACATAGAATTTCGTTATTAATCCAAAGTGGGGTTGGTGAACTGTTTTATATATTTATTTTAAGTAGACAAAATACAAATAGATAGAAATAGGTTAAAAGAAAAGGAAAAAGTATCTATGGACCAATAGGGCATTTTAGCTGCTATAATTCTCAAAACTTTTTTTTTTTTTTAATATATTACCTCAAATATCTTAAAATGCATATTGTCTCACTAATCTTATGCTTTAAATGGCCAGGTAGAAATATTAAATCTGCAAACACCTACAGAGAAAAACATAGAAATTATCTGGCTTGGGATGCTACTTATTCTCTTTTGTTTAAATTTTGATACCTGCATGAAATACCACATTTGATATTTATACTAATGGTAGCTGGGACAAATGGCCTCAGTTAAAAGATTGCTACAATAGTTTTCATAGATTTTGTATCTGGATTTATAAATAACTTTCTCTTGATGGTGTCTGTAGTTGTTGCTTCTTTTGCCTGGGAATTCACTGCCAGACTGAAATATGCTTATCCTGAATTCTAGATCATTTCAGCACAAACAGCAGAGCTCCTTTAAGCAGAAGATGACAAGGGAAAAAACCATTGCTTTCAGAATTTACCCTTGACGTGATGGCAAGCGATACAAGAATGGATAAAGAGACTATATGAAACCGAGAGCTCTGTGTTTATCTTATGAATTGAGAAGTGGAAAGTGAATTAAAAGTTGCTGTTGGCAAGTTTTTGTCCCTACCCAGAACATTGCACGTTTGATAAAATGGCACCATATAAACTCCAGATGGGACGAAGAACTGGGACACTTCTTTAAATGTAATACTTAAAATAATCCTATTTACACTTGCTTACAAATTTTCTGTTTAGCTGGAGACTGCCCATCCCAATGGGCAGACTTCTCTCTCTGCCATCCACTGAAACTTCTGCTGGTGCTCTCCATTAATATTGCTAATATTATCATTATTTACCCACTTGAGCCAAAAGATTCAGCCATAAGAACAAAACTAAAACTGTGTGGGGTTTTTCCCCTTTGTTGAAAGACGACAGGTGGTGTACTTTTCTCTGAATAATTTTAGCAACCCTGTGCTTTGGAAACAACTGAGTCTAGGAAAAGTAGGCGTTCTGTCTCTGAATCAGCCAAATTTCAGGCTTCCACAAAGTGGTGCGCCATGGTTGTCCAAGCTTATCTTCTCAGTTGGCTGCCGTAGAGCAACAAGCTGAAAGTCTTGGAAATACCAGCTGTTTCATATGGAAACTGGACACTAGCAGCATATCCTGGGAGCCTGCCTTTTTAAAAAAATCATGAGCTTGGAAAACAAGTCCCAGGCTGCCAGCTCACAGTTAGCATGTCAGCTGGATGACCAAAGCATTGGGCTACAAACTGCCTGGAAACCAGATACCTGCTTGCAGAGAGGACTTTTGATCTGCCTTTCAGGACGGGTTATCTTCAAACTTGAGTTCAGATACATTTTCCTTGTGAGTACAGAAACTTTGTCATTGAGATAAAATAGAAAATTCAAGTAAAAATTTATTTGGGATTAGTATGTTTGTTGTATATTTTGAGGTTCATTGTTTCAGACTCTGAAGACGGATCTGAAATGATGTTCAGATTTCATATGTTATATAATATACAATTTAAAAATATGATCCTAGATTTAGGCACCCACCATTAGTGGAAAATATTGATATTTTATGAAATTCCCGTATATTTAATGGCATATTGTGAAATTAAACTCTCATGTTTGTGGATCATTTGGTATTGTAGAGGTGAATACCATAAAAAAAGATATAGGAAAAAATTATTTTTTATCATCAGAGTCGGATTTGAACAGAATGCTGTAAACGAAGCCTGAAGCTCCATATTGAACCCTTTAAAAAAGCCACAAAATCTAAATCTTGAATAACTCTTCCTTGAACAAAAAGTATTCATTCTCTTTAGAGAGTGAGATCATGTTGCTGTGAAAAAATATGATTTAAGTAACTAAAGAATGCATTACTGTGCATTAACACCTGTTGGCTGAACTGAGAAGGTTGAGGCTGAACTTCTTGACTTTGACATAAGTCAAACACACTGTAATAAATTTAAGCAGATATGCTATGGATGTATGTGGGAAGAAAGATAATCTACTGGTAATCAGCTTTAGCAGGCTACGCTTTTAGATGCAGTCTAAAGCAGTGTTCCATTAAATATTTTTACCACCCTTACTGAAAAGACACCTTTCTGCTCAGCAAACACATAGCAACATCAGACCTACCTGCTGAATAAAAAAGTGCATTAAAGCAACAGAAAACAAACAAGTGCTCTCCTAGACAATTTGACTTTTCTGAAAGCAAAATACAACATAAACTGAGTGTAAAAATTGTGACCCTGACAGATTATTAAAAAAATGCTCATGGGATTAATTGTCATGATGTCAAAATGAATATAAAAGCATCAAATAAGAACTACGTGATGTAGTTGTATCAGTAGCAACTTGTATCTGCATAACATATACAAATTACTATGTGGCTTGTTATTCCCTAGATTTAGTGCTAAGTATGTCCTGAAGTTAATGGGAATTAGAAAGTTTCCAGAAATTTCTAGCAACTTAAATAAGTGCAGAATATTAATGGAAAAAAATTACAGTTACTTAGTCTAAGTGGTGCTGAATGCCTCCCATAGACTTAGATTGGAGGGCTGAGCACTTTGCCAGCAGATCAAAAGGGATGAATTCTTTCTGCAATTTTAGGAGAACTGAGGGAGATGTCGTCTACAGAGCTCTTTCCTCAAGTGCTGATACTGTGAAGTATTTTAACTCTTCCAAAACTTTTAGCCTGGGCAAAAAAATATATTGTAAAAAACAGGGAAACAGCTTATCTATGTAACAAAATAACAATGTTTTAAAGCATTAGGGACTCCAGCTAGAATTTTTTGGTACTAAGGAAATCTGAATGAATTTTAGAGAAGCTCTCATTTTGCTGACAGCATTGGTAAGGCTACTATTTCTCCTTTTTTTCTCAAGATATTTCTGGACCTTTTGATATTGGTTGTTAGGTCACTATTTCTGTTCACCTGTTTCAAATTATTTCCTGTATAAATAATGCATTGGCTTCTTACAACAAATGCTTTCCAGACACCACTGTGTTTTCATCATGTTGCTACATTTTGAAGTATATAACATTACGTCTCCTGTTTATGCATTACTGCTTCAGGTTGCACCAAACGTAGCTAAGAGGCATTTAAAGTTTTTATGCTACATGGAGATGCTTTTGCTTTTAGGTAAGACTAAACAGTACATGCAGCTATCATTGAAATCACGTACCAAGCTTTTGTTTCAGTGGCCACCGACTTGGACCTCTAATGTTTGCTTGTTATGTATATCTTTAAGGAAAGAGGATAGCATAAACATTTGCAATGTTGGAGCAGTTACAAGATCAAACTTAATTTCTAACTGCCAGGTCCATGCCATTCTTATCAACTGTCTTTTTATCACCTGTCAGATATTGCCAGATATGCTAACAGTCATTTCTGATTATTTCATAACTAGGCTTAATTAACAGGATGCTTTGCTATAAATTTAGATCAGGTTTTCTAGAAGTTGTGAAGTATTCAAATATCATATTGCCAAGATTGCTATGTCCACAGTTTTTATATATTTAATAGCACCAAAGTTTTCATTTACATTTTAAAGCACTGATTTCTGATCACTCTCATACTTCTACTGATTTTCTTCAAGGATAGCTTACAGATTTTTTTTAGCATTTTGAAATGTTTCTCATTAATCCAGCCCTTGTTCAGAATGTTAATCTGGGGTTTTATGCTGCTAGCTGAAAACAAAACTAAGATTAGGTGCACACCAGTGAATGCCTGCAGCAGTAGAAAATTTAAATGTGGTACCTCATAGTTATAACTGAGCACAGCATCATACTGACACATTTACATCTAACAAAAGTGGCAGCATTGATAGATAGCTGGCAAAACACCTGGTTTAGAAAACTAGTAACTCCCCTTCACAACTGAATGGTAGGAGTGAATAAGTCTCTGATTCTAGAACATAAGACATCACATGAAATAAGGCAATGGGCTAGTTTATGAAGAAAGCAAAATTAGAGGGCTAAGCATAATATTCAATATGATATGCTTCGTTTTGCCACTAAGAGCTGCGCTTCTTCCTTAGAAAGGCATTTTGTTAGGCCTCTGCTTCTGTCATGGCTATTTCCATGCAC